TGAACAGAACCGGTGACAAAGGGCAGCCCTGGCGGAGTCCAACCCTCACCGGGAACAGGTCCGACTTACTGCCAGCCACGCGAACCAGACTCGTGCTCCTTCGGTACAGGGACTGGATGGCCCTTAGCAAAGGGTCACCAACCCCATACTCCTGGAGCACCCCCCCACAGGATGCCCCTGGGGACACGGTAGTAAGCCTTCTCCAAATCCACAAAACACATGTGGACTGGTTGGGTGAACTCCCATGCCCCCTCCAGCACCCTGGCGAGGGTAAAGAGCTGGTCCACGGTTCCGCGTCTGGGACGAAAACCACATTGCTCCTCCTCAATCCGAGGTTCAACTATCGACCGGACCCTCTTCTCCAGCACCCTGGCGTAGACCTTACCGGGTAGGCTGAGGAGTGTGATCCCCCTATAGTTGGAACACACCCAATGGACCCATTTCTTGAAGATAGGGACCACCACCCCGGTCTGCCACTCCAGAGGCACTGCCCCCGATGTCCACGCAATGTTGCAGAGGCATGTCAGCCAAGACAGCCCTATAACATCCAGAGCCTTGAGATATCCAGGGCGAATCTTGTCCACTCCCGGGGCCCCGCCGCCGCGCAGTTCCTTCGCTACCTCGGTGACTTCTGTCCCCAAAATTGGACGACCTGCCTCTGAGACCCCCGGCCCTGTTTCCTCACTGGAATACGTGTTGGTGGGATTGAGGAGCTCCTCAAAGTATTCCTTCCACTGCCCGACAATGTCCCCAGTTGACGTCAGCAGCTTTTAATTCTCATTTAAAACAAACCTCACGGACTGCATTTTTTCATCTGCGTAATATTGCGAAAATTAGGCCTATCCTGACCCGAAAAGATGCAGAAAAATTGGTCCACGCTTTTGTTACCTCTAGGCTGGATTACTGCAACTCTTTATTATCAGGTAGCTCTAGTAAGTCCTTAAAAACTCTCCAGCTAATTCAGAATGCAGCAGCACGTGTACTAACAGGAACTAAGAAACGAGATCATATTTCTTCTGTTTTAGCTTCTCTGCACTGGCTCCCTGTAAAATCCAGAATTGAATTTAAAATTCTACTGTTAACTTATAAAGCTCTAAATGGTCAAGCTCCGTCATATCTTAGAGAGCTCATAGTGCCTTATTATCCCACCAGAACACTGCGCTCTGTGAACGCAGGGTTACTCATGGTCCCTAAAGTCTCCAAAAGTAGATCAGGAGCCAGAGCCTTCAGCTATCAGGCTCCTCTCCTGTGGAATCATCTTCCTGTTGTGGTCCGGGAGGCAGACACTGTCTCCACATTTAAGATTAGACTAAAGACTTTCCTCTTTGATAAAGCTTATAGTTAGGGCTGGCTCAGGCTTGCCCTGTACCAGCCCCTAGTTAGGCTGACTTAGGCCTAGTCTGCCGGAGGACCCCCTATAATACACCGGGCACCTTCTCTCTCTCTCTCTCTCTCTCTCTCTCTCTCTCTCGTGTCCTATTACTGCATCTTGCTAACTCGGCCATTCTGGATGCATTCTGGATGTCACTAANCTCTCTCTCTCTCTCTCTCTCTCTCTCTCTCGTATCCTATTACTGCATCTTGCTAACTCGGCCATTCTGGATGTCACTAACTCGGCTTCTTCTCCGGAGCCTTTGTGTTCCACTGGCTACGGTTACATGATGGCTTCTCATTCGGAATGAAATAAATCTGAATGAAATCATTCGGAATTAAAGTTTTTCCAGGTAGTTTACATGGGAGAATGAGGGTTTACATGGGAGATCAGTTCAGTTGCCTTTATTCAGGTCTGCACAAGGTTTGGGTCAGGGAAGGTTTCTAATTGGATAGGGGGCGGGCGGATGTTACGTGTTTACATTTACCGGAAGAAAACACTGTAGTCCTCGCTCCGGATAACAAGATGTTTGCGGACGTCGTTCTTAGTGCCTTTTTCGGGCGTGTTTTGCTTATATTCTTGAAGCAGCAGAACGACAACAAAATTGTTCTGCTAATACTTAATCTGTTGAGGAGGAGAAGGGAGGTAGAAGACCAAGCTGTGGCGAATGGAAACCGGTGAGTGCAACAAGTCCGACTGCTCTATCTCAGCCTGTTGCTATGCAGCCCGTTGCTATGCGCGCTATATAAGTCATCGCGCCAGAAGGGCAAGGAAACGAGCATGCGCAGAAAGACCAGAATGAATTAAAAGAGGAATGAGTGTATACATGCACACAAAATTCTTTCATTCGGAATGACAAACAGATTAAACCACCCCCTTTAATCAGATTTAATTTTCAATCAGAATGACCACTTTTAATCGGAATGGCCTTTCATTACGATTAAAAGTGGAATTAAACTGTGCATGTAAACGTACTGATTGCCTCTCAGATTAACTCAAATCGCAGCGGTGCCTGGATAGTGTGACTTGTGTGGTTGTGCTGCTGCCGTGGTCCTGCCAGATGCCTCCTGCTGCTGCTGACATCATTAGTCATTAGTCATACTTCTACTGTTATTATACACATATGATTATTGTCACACATGTATACTGCCAGATATTAATATATACTTTCAACATATTGTACCACAATAGCCAGAACTATAACATTATTACTTTCATTAATGTTGTTGTAAGCTACTGTCAGTACTGTCTGTCCTGCATATCTCTCTCGCTCTCTCTCTAGGGTCCAAAGGACAGAGGGATGTTGTATGCTGTAAAGCCCTGTGAGGCAAATTGTGATTTGTGATATTGGGCTTTATAAATAAAATAAAAAAAAATAAATAAAAAAATAAAAATGAAAAAAGACATTGTGAAACAACCCTAATATACAGGGGTGAAAGTAGTTTTAGATTGTTGCCGGTACTATTACCAAAACCTTCATTGCTTCATATTGTTCACCTCTCCTCGCTTCATGCATTTTTGAAAAGCAAAGTCAAAAAACAAACAATAAAAACATTTCAGTTTTTTTTTCTTTTTAACAGTATTTTTTATTAAGATTTTTTCATAAACATACAAAAGGAACACATTACAAACAAACAAACAGTGGCCACAGAAATAACACATCTTACTGAAATCCCTGACATAAGATATACATAGCCCACAACCTACTTGGAAAAATAATTGCATACAATTGTGTAGGTGTACCGTGGGAGGTGTCATAGCACCTAAATAAACTTATGCACATAGAAGTGCTCAGACCATTACAATTGACAGAGATGCAACAACTCACCACCTTGAGAGGAGTAAGTGAAAAAAGGATACAAACTTACATAAATTAAAGTATTGAAATTTTCAACAGAATTTCATAAGACAAAATACATGAGTAATAAGTAAATGACAATCACCAAGTAAGTAGAAATCTAACCTTATGACCCAAAGATGTCATTTTGCCAATTGTCAGTGCTGCAGTCAATCATTTCCTTTAGGACAATATTTGTGAATCTTTTACCAGTATATTTAAAGAAGGGTGTCCAAGTCTTAAAGAAAACTGACATTTTATATTTGAATCTGTATGTTAAATATTCCATTGGTATTAACTCAAATATCAGTTTATGCCATCCTATAATTGTAGGAGGTGCAGTAAACATTTCAATATTTTACTGTACCTGTATTGAGTAGAAAGAAATTAGAAACGCTTAACGTGTAAAATATTTCTTTTAATGTTTAGGGTGCTGGCATGTATGAAACTTTAATGAACACTTAAAACCATGCATGTCATTTTTTTCTTTTTCTCTTTTCCTCTTTACCTACTTTTCGTTGAAAAGGCATTGATCAACATCCGCAATAAACTCAATAAACTATTAAAATATTTTACTATTTAAATCACGCTGACAGCATTTGAGCCAACCACAAGAATGTGTGAAATTTCGTTGGTTTTATTTAGAGTTTGTCCCTGTACAAACGGTGTTTTTTGATGTCCGTGGTCCAGTTGTGGAAAAATCAAACATCCCAGTACAATAAATCAAACGCACCCCAACCGCTGTGTTTCGGAAGTTGACGCGCATGCGCAGTCACGTACTGCTGAGAGTGAAATCCCTGATCAATGGCTCACACGCAGCTTGTTCAAGCTGTTCTCTGTGTTGTTGAAATCAAACAAAATAACATGGAACATATCTGCTTATTATTCTAAGCAATTCAGGACGAGTTAAAAGCAATTAATAAACTGTGCTGTTTAAAACTGCATATATTGCTAGCAGATCTATTTTTTGGCCTAAAGTGCAGCTGTGACTGGTTCTGAATGTGGGCTTTAGCAGGCAGCCACTCTCTCCTCTTCCTGGTACTGCGTACCGCCACTGAATCTTTTAGTGGTATGCAGTACGGGACCGTACCAGCTATATACCATTCTGTTCCAGTGTTTGGCTTAATATCAAATCAGTCTGAAAATTTTTACACCGGCCCAACCCTAGCAAGAGGCTGGTACTGTGAAGGAGCAAGGGGTGGATCTGAGAAGCCGAAGACCGTATGTCTGTCACTCAAAGCAGCCCGGCCTTAATTATGTGTAACTTTAAGCCATAATAAATTGATAATGGGTAAGTAACTTAAAAAAATTCACCCCCTGTACAGTTGTCATGAAGGGGGAAATTAGTTATAGAGGCCAAAACCGTTTTTGTATACGGCTGTAAATATGATTATTTCTGTTGTAAAGTTGGGCATTTTAACATGGGGGTCTGTGGGGATTGACTCACTTTTGGAGCCATCCTCTAGTGGCCAATCAAAGAACTGCAGTTTTTGGCACTTGGTTACAACAGACAGTTTGGGTAACAAGGTCGTTTCCGTCTTGTTTTCTTTGTTTTCTCGTTTTCTTTTCCAATTAAGTTTGTTTCCAACCTGGCAGATCATGTTGACTGCTTGTGTTTCAGATTTGCAGTATGTTGCAATGTCAAAGTTTCTCGAAGAGTACAATATTATTACAGATAGAAATGATGGCCAAATATGTGAAATTAAAATCAAAGTTGAAATACACCAAAACAATGGAGAAAAACAGTAACTACTCCTGCTGTTTCTTAAGAGTGCTGTGTCTTTTCCACAGATGGTGAGAAGTTACTGTGTGTCCAGGAGTCCACCAACATCAGTCCAGCTGTATCAGACCTCTTCCTGCGGGACTACACAGAGACTGTTTCACTACCCCACTGTGGTCTGCAGTGTGACTAAAGAACTGTATTATACATTCATTACGAACTCTTAGTTTTACTCATGTCACTTTATGTGAAAACACTATTGATCTGCATTTTATAGACATCTGTCCTCACTTGATTTTAATGTTATCACCAAAATGTTGACATTGATAGCAGTGCGAAGTTTAGTATCAAGAAGCATACTCAGTAATAATAGAGGCCGTGGATGTTCAAGAAATGCCTTTTAAGTAAGAACACAGTACAAAGTACACAGTATTTAGGGAATACTCTGTTGCTTTTCTTGTCCTGTGGGACTACTTTTCTCATGATTCGCCGTGAGACAGTTGCCTGCTTTGGGACCAGGTGATTGCCTTTGGTGCATTGTGGGTGAGGAGAAGTGAACAAACTTGACCCACAACAACCAAACACACTGCCTGAATTAACAGAAATCTTAGGCATCACCACTGAGGAAAACAAATGCAGAGTGATACAAACTACTGCATTAACAAAAAACACAAAAACCTGTATGTGTAAAAGTAAACATCAGGGGCTGAAAGACGGAATGGTTCAGGACTGGAGAGTCTTAAGATGAGCTTGAGTGAGTATTAGGCAAATACACAGAAAAACATTTAGTGCCACAGCTTTACAGTGCACCTGGAAGTCAGGTTGAAAGGGTCAGAAATGCTCCTAAAAGGAACCAAATTTTCACTGACCACAATACCACAGCAAACAGGGAAAATGTTCCCACACACCTTTTGAGCAGCTTCTGATGTCTGGTCTGTTCAAAGTCTGTATTCACTCTATTTAGGTAAACGTAAAAGTCATTTAATTCTTAAATCCCTATAAAATCAAATTGGAATGCAGTTTTTTTTCCAGTCTGTTCTAAAGCTTAGATTTGGGTTTGTCTCTTGCCACCCTCTTTGTCTTTAATGGCCCAGACACACCAAACCAACTTCAGAGAACTAGCGCCAACAAAGGCCCCCTGCTGCATTGTGTGATGTTGCCATGTCTCCATGAACGCACTGCAAAGACTTTAGCCAACAGTCAACCAGCACGTGCCAGTACTTGAATACCTCAAAAAATATCCCCCTTTTTCAACAAAATGCTTTAAAGCCTTTTTTTTTTTTGGTAACTTCTAATGTATTGCCTTCTCGATCGCATTTTGTTCCTCCTCTCCTTTCTTCCTTGCTTTGATCATGTCTTGCCCTACATCATAGTTTATTTTTACTTAGGTCCACTTTTACAACCCGGAAAAACCAGAAGGCCCAGGTTGGCATGGCAAAACTTATGTAAAACTGTGGAAAACTAAGTTCCAGGATTTTATAGTTATGCCTAAAAAGGGTGTGATAAGTAACCCTTCGCTGAAAAGAGAGACACTGATCAAATCATTTATATATGTTAAATAATAAATAATAACTCTCACACCAGCAGACAGCAGTGGTCTGTATTCGTCATCTTGACATTAGTTAGCACATGAACAATTCACTGTTGAAAGATCAAAGCATATTTACCTTATGTGGCAAGTTTGTTTTGGTCTCACTCCCTTATGACTTCAGCTCTCTGTTTACTCTCCTCACTCGTGTTTTTTTTCTCGGGCTGAACTGAACTGCCAGTCAGTGTTTCATTCACCAACAGCCTCTGCCGTTTCCGACGGGACACACTGCACTGACTAGGGTGACAGACACTCGCTGACAGCCCAACATTGACTGACGGCCGACCTACAGCTTGGTGTGTCAGGGCCTTAAAGGCAAAGTCACATTACATGTCTCCCCAGCAAATATTCATTCCGTCTTTAATTCACCTGAAGTTTGCAAGATGAACAAATTTAAGCATGCATTTCCTGATCTGGTGCCATCTCTAGCTGGCAACAATCACCTGCTGTTCAACTTTTACCTGCAAATTTACATGGTTGACCACTTGAAACACTTATTGTGCTGTTTAATATTCATTTATTACCCACATCGAACCTGTGACATCACATTCTAGGGTAGAGTGCAGAGAAATTCTGTTGAACTAAAGGCTAACTTGGCTAATTTTACTGGAGCAGTTCCACATTTGGTCAATGGTGGGAATCCTGGGAGGAGAAATGGACTTAGTAACCAACACTGCTGATCGATTTACTAGTTTTGACACCTGTCAATAAGCACACACAGGTTACAAAATACTTTATTAAAGCCATAAGGTCTCCTTAACGCTTGACTCTAAGCATTGACCTCAAAGTGAATGTTGACAATAAAATGTTTTGAGAATGAAGACTAATTGAATGGAATGCAATGGTTGGTCCAGTGCTGGTTGTTTTCTTGAAGTAAGCATCTAATAGCTTAGAAGAAATGGTGTCATCACTTATCTGTGATGATTGCTTCTTAAATTAATATAACCTTGTCATTTCTGCTCATAAATTTGTTTTGTATTTTACATAGTTTCACATAATGATGGGCATGTCCAAAATTTGGCCCGGCGTACCCCCACAGACTGATTTTAGACAGTCCACATCTTGTCTTTCAAAATATACAGTATTTGACCAACCACACGTTGATTTATCAAGCAAGTTCACTTACTGTCTTTTCTGTTCACCTCAAGAAGGCAGGACAATCACACAGTTTGTAGACAAGCACCAAGTAGGAACTACATATGTGGAACTAATGTGTTTTCATGAACAGATGGTAAACAAGCAAACTAACACGTAACAGCAGGCATTTCCTGCTAGGTAGCAGACAGGGCCACGGTAAAGAGGCGTAAAATCGAAAGTGAGGGAAGCCACTTTTAAGAGCAGTGGAAAGTAGAATTCTTTTTCATTGAGTAATAAAACAGTTGCGTTGTTTAAAAAAAAAAAAAAATTATTAATTCATATGATGTGAGAAGCTGGTCTCCTGATTTTCACAATATCTAATTTGGCCCCATTCAAAAAAGTTTGGACACCCGTGTTGTTGGAGGTATCTGTTTAGAGATTTCAAGTATTGACACATAATACCAGCAGCACATTTAAATGTGCTCTTTTTTTCTTTTCTTTTTTTGCCTTTCACATTTTCTGTGCCATGATATTGCTTATTTTAAAGTTTTCTCCACTTGTTTTTATGTAGTTTTACCTCCTTGCTATGCTTTCAATGTAAAGGTACAAAAATGAAAAGACCAAACATCTAACTTGATCTGAGAGCACAATAGCATGTTTTTGTACTTAACACTCCTGTTAAATTTAACCATATTTGCCTTGCATCATACATTCTCTCAATAGTATGTTGTGATAAACCATTTATTAAAAAATACATAAACTTTGAGTCTGCTTACATGTATCACAGCCTGTAAGTTGTGGAAGCCTGTGGCTGAATATATTAAATAAATTGAATATATTATTGTGTGTGTGTGTCTAATAAATA